TGGCCCAGTTAATGCCGTCTGTATAAGAAAGATCATCCCATTCTTCAATTTGTGATCTAGAATTTTATGGGAAGGATTGGAATTCAGCATGTGTGTGCCTTTGTTTTTTGTTTTGTTTTGTCTTTTTGAGACAAGAGTCTCACTATGCAATTCAGGCTGGCCTTGAACTCACAGTGATCCTCCAGCAAGTGTCACCATGCCTGACAAGCACCTGTGTTTTCAAAATCATAATTCTTACCTACTTGTGAGCTTACTTTTCCATTTGATATATGATAAGATGACTTCTGGAAAATGAGATCAGATGTGTTTTCCCCAAATCCTCACAGGCCAGTGCTATCCGATTCTTTCTGTTGTGGACTTGGAATTTAAACCTCGTTTCTGGGATGCACAAAGAGAAGGCTGGAAATCTGTGGGTTTGGGTTACTGCTGGTAAAGCAGGAATCACTGCATTTATGGAACTTTTAGTCATGATTGACTTTCTCTTGTCTTGACTTCAAGAATTGTCAAGTTTTTTTTTAAACTACCAAAAAAAATTAACTATATTCATTATTATTTAAGCTACTTAGTTTTTAGAGTCTGTTACTATAGTTCAGCTGACCCTAAATAACACAATATTTTATAGTAAATATAACTGAACAGAAATTAAGCTTGATCCAAGTGCTCAGTGTCATCTGGATATAATCACTGGATACTGATCGCAGCAGTTCAAGATCTCTGTGGTCTTCACATCTCATAATCATAGAGGTTGTAAAATTGTCTTTCTAGAAGCTGTAGCAGAAGTTCTAGAAAAATTCTGATCCGGACATTTTATGCCATCCTCAGTTTTTTGCGGGGGTGGTTAAAGGGCTGGAATACTCAGGCAAACTTTACTTACATTCCTACCTCTAGGTGGAGGGGTGATAGTCCCACCTAAACTCCATGGACAAAGCAAGATTACATATAATGGAATAGTGAGTCCCTAAAGAAAGAATTTCTGAACAATAAGTAATAGCTATCAGAACACAGTGTGGTTAAGTGAAAGCCTAAAAATTAATAAAAGCATGAAACAAGAGTGCCCTGGATGAAGGTATGGTTTAACTATAAAATAAAAGGAATAAATCAGAGGAACACTGCAAGAAAATGTGTCTTGTTGAAAGTTTGTGTTGTTGGGGAGAGAAAAACAATAAAAAAAAAAAACAAATGAACTTTTTAAAATTAAAAATATTAAGTGGTAGTAAATAACATAAATTTTGCCATGTTAACCAGATAATATCGAGAATGCAGCAGTAGTAAATATATTCATATTTTTTTAAGTTGTGTTTTTTTAGTTAGGGAATTAGTAAAACAATAGTACTGTCAAAAGATTTGAGAGAAGAACAAGTGCATGTCTTAATCTCTGATCACACAAGCCTGACCATAGATTTCTTAGGTCCCAGGAAGCCCATAGAATAGTTCCAGGCAGGTGACTTGTAAGGCAATAAGAGCTAATTGCAGGAAGGCTCTAACTGGGTATTTGACATCAGCATTAGTCACAGACAAATCTCATTAGACTGTGGAACCAGGGTCCCTGAATTGGGTCTGTCTAGTCAAAGGAGAAGACTTACGGTTATTGTATATTTGGGGCTGTGTCGTTCTTCCCTTACCTATAAGGATCATACTGAAACCAGGATTTCAAAAGCAGTTTCTACTTCTTACCAACTGGTTCGTACCAGCAACAAAAACAACTTCATATTGACCAGTTGGCTTGAGGTGTCTTACATATTTCCCTTGCATCAGTGCATAGTCACAAATGAGAACTTAAAGGCCTTGCCTATAAAGATAGGACAACTTTTAGAGCCTAGGTGTTAACAGTAATATTACAATAAAATACTAGGACTCTGTGTTACGAAAGTGTAAAGACATCTAAGTAGAGCATTGATTTAAATAAGTTCATACTGGAGTGCACTGAGTGGATTGAGCTATGGAAATAATTCTGGTTATGTTCATCATAAAAGTAAACATTAAAATAATGGAACTGATCCCTATCGTATCTCTGATACAACTTTCTAATTTTTTTTTATTTTAAAGAGAAAAGAACAAAAACAAAATAACAAAAACAAAGACAAAAACTACACAACACAAAAACTATAAAAATGATACAGAATTTCAAAACAAGATGATAGGAAATCAACAATAGTTGTTTCATTACTTATTGTTATCTTCAAAGTAGTTGCTCAGATTACCAGATATAGATATGCAAGATTGATCAAATGATTAAATATTAACTGTTCCTTTCAATAAACCAATAGAAATTAGTAGTGCAATTATCTATTTTGTGTGTGTATTTATATATATATATATATCTTATATTTCCCTTCCTTCTTTCTTTCTTTTCTTCTTTCCTTCATCTCAGTTGTTCTTTCCTATTAAGCAATTTCTTTCCTTTTCACAATATCTATTGTACCTTTCAGATTTATTTACTCTTTCAGGTTCTTACACCATGAATACAATGCAGTGTTTATACATGTGTGTCTGATTTATTTCATTTATGAGTATGATATCTAGTTGCATCCATTTACTTATGAAAGTCTCAAGTTTATCTTTCTTTATAGCCAAGTAATATTCCATTGTATAAAAGTATCACATTTTTCTTATCCACTCTTCAGTTGATGGGTATTTGATATAACTTTTAAGGAATCACTGCAAAACAGCAATGAAGCTCAACCTTATTGTCAACAAATATTTGAGTGTTCTACTATGTGTGTTTTAAGATCTGAATTCCACAGAACAAGGCAAATGTGCAACTCTGTACCAAGGGAAAATATTTGCCATATTGCTGTATTTCAGCATTCTGTTTCTTTTCACCTTGGATACTAGGCTCAAAGACCCAATGTTTCTATATGTTTTAATAGCGGAGCAAGTTTCTCACCTACAAATAAGTTGAATTCCAAAAGTGGCATATAAGCAGCTTATTAAAATTCAGCACATTTTACCATATGGATTATGTCATAAATTGTAGTTCAGTTTCCAGACTGATTCACAAATCTCATTTAGTCTATAATTTATCTGAATAGGACATTCGCAGAATCTATTGAGTGGAACTAGAGATGCCATAACTCTCCCCATTTTTAAAAGCAGGAAAAAATATGTATGAGAACAAAATTTCTTCAACTGGGCTTCATTCATCTGACATCAAAAGCAGAAGCAGAAGAGATTCCAAGTTATGCAGTATTTTTTCTGAAGGACAAAGAAGCAGATGGTCAGATTTTGATTTTTCTAGTTCTTTTGCTAGCTAATAGGCACTGCTCTTGCCCCAGAACAGTAAGTTGTTCTGTGGTGCAAAGCAAAGGGATGATGTGGAAAGCATATATACAAAGTGATTTTAAAATGGGCTGGAAAAAGAAAGCAGAAAAAGAAGGAAGGGGCACTATTAACCTGATTACCTGTGGATGTTTTTATAGCAAAGAGAGGGATTATATTAGCATACTTCTTAAGTGTCCATATGAAAATCAGACATAATTAAAAATACACCTTTCCTTGCCCTTACAATCTTCATCGAGCTTCATTTCCCTCAATTATAAAAGTGAAGATTGTTGTTGAGAATTAAAGAAAATAAAAATAGCACCTATTATGACAATATCCATAATCGTTGCTCAATAAATATAATCCTGCTCATCTCTCAAATGCATCACGTAAACATTGATTAATAAGTGCACATTAGCATAAAATTATATGTTGCTAAATTAGACTAAATTGCATGTCTCTGAACCCTGAGAAACTTATAAAGAAGGAGCAAAAGTAGGAAAAAGTATTAAGCTTTATTATGTATTAAAAATAAAGCATTTTTAATTTTTAAAATATGTACAGCTTTATGGGACACATTGTGGTAATTCCATGCATGTATATGACGTGTCTTAATCAAATCAGAATATTTCCAATTGTTTTATTTTGGAAATTTTGTGTACTTCCAGTCATAAGAATAAAGAATGTTTTAAATCTCTTTTTATTCTTTTGTCAGTAATAATTCTGCTATTCATTGTCAGTGCCCCATTCCACAGAGACAGTCACCACCTTCAATATGCATTTTATATTTAGAGATTCCTCATCTTAAAGTAATATTACCTTGTTATAGAACTTTCTATAATGACTTGCTATAAAGACTGTAATCTTTATCTTTTTGAATGTCAGTAAAAAGTAAGTGGATAAAAATAGCAAGATGAATAACCTTTTTTGCAATCTTGCAAAGCAAAATGGAACTAGGCTGTCCCTTTTATACCCACACAGCCTTCCTTTTGGTGAAAGCATAATTTGTTAATATATCTTTTAACCAGTGAACTGGCGTAGAGAACAAAAGTAAAATTTATATCATCCAATTTTATTAGTTAATAACAAATGTAAAGTTTTATCATGTGTTCTATATGAATTGCTCCTGCTGAAATTTTCTTTACAATCTTTGCTTTCACTGCTTATGACTTACACTCTGCTCCTTCAAGTACCTCCAGTTGTCAGAGACTGGAGGAATTATTGAGAATATCTCTGGAAAAGGCTTGTTTCTTAAGAACAAGTGAATGAGTTGTTTTCCTGTTGCTGTTCAGAGTCCTTTTTCTCTTCCCAAGGACTACTTATTCCAAAGAGAATGGTTTCTCCTGGAAATTATCCTGCCTAAGCACTGAGAACAAGCCTTAAGCCACGATCCACTTTGAAATCATAGACCACAACTGAAGGAAGCATTGTACCTCCCTGGAATGTGGAACTGTAGAAACATCCTGTGTGTTCTTTCTACCAGTTACCTAGGAGTTTGTGACAGACTGCTTGATTAACTACAGGAAGGATGGTACAGCAAAAGAAGCCAATATATGATGGTCTTTCTGTCAATCCCAAGGATTTTGTTTAGGGAGCCAACATATGTTTGTGTATGGAATTTCAAATCTCAAAAGTACTAAACTTCAACGACTTCAGTTATTTTCACATGTTTTAGAGCCCTAGGTATGTGAGGAGGTACCTCCATGGAGAGGAAGGAGATGAAAGTTGAGGGATACTCTGTACCAGAGAAGCCTGGCTGCAATGTTTTTATAAATTGAGACTTTATTGAAGCTATTGTAAGGAAATGAGTTTGAAAATTGTTAGTGTCTCAACCTCTTACTAACTGAACCCAATTTTTGTGCTCAAAGATCTGACTCTCAAATACTAGTATAGTTCCTCAACTAATGACTGTCACATTTCATTAAATGATTATGTACTCTTTTTCTGTATTAGAACAGATTTGTTTATTAATGGTAAGTAGTGCCTGGCAGTTAACTAAAATAATAAATTAATGAAAGATATTCATAATGTCATGGGTTAGCACATACAATTTTTTAAAAATTAAGACCAATATACTGCTAAATATGCTCTATTTATTTTCATAAACTGTCCATATTTTAAAATGTTCATATAGTCTTGTGAATCAGTAACATTGGCTAACAGTACAGTCCTTGACTCTTATAGTCTGTGATAAATGACCAATATTCAATTTCTAAGAAAGCTTTTGGTCTAGAAATCTACTTCTGTGGTTCTAAAATTAAATCAGCTGCCATATCTGCACACTTCAGATCCAAAACTAAAGTTTGAGCTAGACCCAAGCTTTACAGGTACTTAATTTTATAATTCTCTAAAAGTCTAGTAATATTTGCTAGTTTATTAAATCTTTTTATTTTTCTTTTTATCTCTCTACAGCTCAAAGTGTTCAACTTAGACTTTCAAAATGAAAATTAAATGCTTGATTATACTGGTTTATACTTCACTATGAACATTTGCTAATCATGAGAGAAAATATTCCCCTTTCTACTAGGAGTATACTCGACTGACATTTATTTGCTTCAGTTAGCAGATGTCCTTTTAAAAATGAACATTTCCAGTCACAGTAATAATTGTCCTCTTATTTTAAGATAGTCTTTTTATTCCTTGTGTTTTTGTTCTCAAGCACATCGCTGGTTCACTAACTTACCACCTGTTGGCTCCTGTTGTTATTGTTACTTCAGACTTTTCACGCCACTAGTCCCGCCTGTCCATCCTGTGCGCTCTAGGTGGGACCCTACTGCGTCACCGGGCTTTCCTTCGGGTCTCTGGGCCTTCTGGTGCGGTTCACCTGGGTCGTGACAGCAGCAGTTCTCTGGGCCTTCCTGTGCATGCGTGTGGTTCACCTGTGCCCTCCTCCACGCTGTTCACCTGGCTTCCCCCAGCAGAGATCAAGAGAGTCTTTTTAAATACTGGGGTTTCTATGATATGTCTTAAAGTCTACTTAGCTGGCTTAAGTTCAATCTCCTTCCTTTTTTTTTTATACCCAGGAACCAAACTCTGCACCTTAGGTTTACCAGGCAGGCACTGTGCCACCAAGCTGTATCCCAGGTCCCTTTCTTTCATTTTTAATATGCATTTAAGACTTTTTAACACTTGCTATAATTCACATGCATTCATTGCAGAATCACTGTTAATTTTTTGTGATATTTTGGTAAATGTTCAAATTTTCTATTATAAATATACTTTACACATTGGAGATAGCTTAATGAGTATAGTAAGTGAATAAAATATTTTCAAAAATTGATGCCTACACCTCAATAAAAACATGAAGTGGCTTCTTCAGTCCTTTGAAGTAAGCACATTATTACACCTATTTAACTGCCATGAGTTCATGTTTTGGATTTTTCTTAATGGTTTCCTCCAGGGGAGGGAGGTAGTGTACTTGTACCTCTACTTCCTCAGGGGATCAAATATTCCTTGCTGTTTGGAAAATAAATGCCAAATATTTTTTCTTTATTTTTATGTTTGATTTCCACAGTAATAGGAAAAGAGCAAATGAAGCAAAATAATCATTTATTTCTAGGACATAACATGCTTGATTTGTGAATATAATTAGAAAATCTTTAACTTTGTATTGTAAATCTTCCTAGATAAGTATAATAGATTATATAATATATTTGTTGGTTGAATAATAGATGTTTTTGGAACTTAAATTTTTTAGTATAGTATTATCATGGAACTTTTTGTTTCTTTGAAACATTGCCTTGCTGTGTAGTTCAAGTTGGCCTTGAACTCATTATGAGGCGTAGGCTGACTTTAAACTCCTGGCAGTCCTCCTGCTTCAGCCTCCAAAGTGCTGGGATTACAGGCATGCCACCACATCTGGCTATTGTGGAGCATTTTTATGAACAGTAAATAGGAAAGTTTTTGTGTGGAGAGTAGGAACACAAATTCACAATAGATTCATCTTTTTTTCTTAAACTGTGATATTCTTCATGTGTGGTCTCAGACCTAAATTTTATAAATTTAATTTAAAGGTTTTTTAAAAATTAGTGGTCAGGTTTAAGAACACCAGTATGCTATTAATTAGCCACAAAACATTTTCACTAATACAGGAAATAGGTAGCTTGAATTTTTGTTTTTGTTTTTGTTTTTGTTTTTGTTTTGCATTTGCTGTCTTTCTGGGTATAGTTTAAGACTATCTGGCTTTGGGAGCCTGACAGGCTAAGCCATGTTATGTAAGGCATTTCAGAATAATTAAACATTTTGATATAATATCTGAATTTCTACCATGAAACATGCTTATGCTCCTTATGAGGAACCTCTATCTATGGGGAATCTAGTAAGATTTCATCTAATCCATTGAATTAGTTGACAGTTTTAAAGATTCTGAAAGCTTATCCATAAGGCCTCTTTAATTACTTTTTTAAAGAAGTTTTACCATACAACCACCATTGTTAATTCCCTACCACTTTGTTTGTAACTCTGTATTGTCTGTATTGTGCTTGTGATATGTTGTAAAATGTTGTATG